CCAAATTTCAATTCCAGAAGGACAAATTAATGCCATTAAATCATGTCATAATCATTGATTTCAATGATCCTACGCGTTTGTTCTTCTTCCCAAAGAGATGGAACTCTTAAGTATCATGAATGTTTTCGAGTAGGCCACCTGTTATTCTTGTATGCCTCCAAATGAAATGGAATCACTTTTGTATATTTCTCCCTTTGTGTTTGTATGTGTGTGTGGGTGTGATATGCCTTTTATTGGAGCTTTATTTTTTTCTTTAGAGCTATATATAATTCACTTTCTATTTTGTCTTGCCGACTTCTTTGACAACTGACGTCCGTACTTACTTTTCCTCCTAACACATTTATCGTAATAATCACCATGATTATATCGGCACTGTTGATATGCTTATCGCTATCATGACCATTAACATTATGAACATGAACTTCTCCTTCTTATTCCTCCTCCTTACACGATTATCGTAATAATCATGCTTAAAGTTCTCAAATATCCATCTTCGTGGTCTTTAATCGTTTAACCCGCATTCTCCCCGAGTCATCTCTCTCTCCCCCCCCCCCCCCCTCTCTCTCTCTCCCTCTCTTTCTTTCTCTCTCTCTCTCTCTCTCCTCCTTTCCGGCCTCTTCATGCCTCTCCCTTTCCCTCTCTTTCGTCTCTCTCACTCACTCTCTCCTCTCCCTTCATCTTCTCTCTCCTCTCCTCCGCTTTCCTACCGCCTTCTGCCTCTCACTTCCTTTCTCTCTCATCTCTCTCTCTCTCTCTCTCTCTCTCTATCTCTCTCTCTCTCTCTCTCTCTCTCTCTCAATCTCTCTCCGTCTCTCTCTCTCTCTCTCTCTCTCTCTCTCTCTCTCTCTCTCTCTCATGTATTTACATCAGCCATATCTATCTACCTATCCATATATCTATATTATATCTGCCCATCTATCTATTCATTCATCTATATATCTATCTAACTGTCCAGCTCCCCATGTATGTCTCCATGTTTTTGCTCTATTTACACCAATAAGTGTCCACGTTACAAATGAAGTACAGTACATCATGACTAGGGGCTGATAAACTATCATGTTTAGACCATGACGTATTTCGTCATGGTTATAAACTACCTGAAATTATATTGAATTTTAACCATGTCAATGGAATATGATTTGACAGAATAATAGCTTTAAAATGGCTAATATCCCAGGTTCAATGTTGAAATCAAACAATTATTTTAAAATGTGTTTCTTCGCTTCAAGATGTGTCGGGAATTTTTTTCTCCATAAATTTGTCATTATAGTGACTGAATTTCGAGGCGAGTTGACGAATCAGCAAATTATATGGAAGATATGAATGGTAAAAAGCTATCCGAAATAATTATACCACTGATAAGGGACATCCCCGTATACAGACAGCCCCCGAGACCCAAAGCCCGCGAGCGTCGGTCTCGTGAACGCGCAGAAGGTTGTCGTAAGGCCCGCGAGACCGACGTGTCAGTCTGGTGAGCTGCAGGTATTGTGGGCCGACGGTCTCATGGACTTTCGATCTTGTGAACCCTTCGATAATTTAAGATGACTAGGAGAACGACATTGTCGGTCTCATGGACTGTAACTATGGTAACCCTACCCACAATCGGAGAATTAACGCATCACCAGCGCCGGGGACTTTAGTATGACCACTTTTTAGGTTTGAAAGGTCGTGAAAGAACAGCTAGTCGTCTACATTCATGGGATTAGATAAAATCAATTGATTTCAGATCATGATTTTGAATTTGGAACATAATGGGTATATAATTGAATCAAATGAGAAGTATTTTAGGGGTATCTAACAAAAAGGCATTGTATCCATCCCTCCCATCTAGTTTATAGGCCTACGCGTAATCACACTATTTGTTTTTCTCTCATCATCATATGATTGTTGCAGGAACGGGCATCTACAAGGCGGAAATACAAATTGGAATATAAACTTAAATATTTATACAAATAGTCTATATTTACTTAAACTAATCATTGATTTCCTGTACCAATACGCACTTGTGATAATTCATGATTTCATATTTTTATTTGGACCCTCTGGTGGTTATCACCTATAAATTGAGTTTTAAAAAAAAATCTTTTTATGGAGTTGTAACACCTAGCTGTAGAAAGGAACTATCAATACAAAGGTAAAAACATATTCTTCAGATAAGTAATTGTAAACAAAACACAAATTATATATGTTTACAGTAGCCCTTCCATGTTAACATGGTTATCAGGATATTATACTATGATAATATTAGCCTCGATCTGTTTCCGTATCCTCTTGGCTCCCCAACTGGTGTAACCTAAGCATCCTGTCCCTATATACAAATACAGCAACGATTCTGCAATGCCATTTAGTCCTTTCATTATAATTACGTTCTCTTTTTTCACAATCTTACAACTAAGTTACCTATAAGAAGTTCGAGAGAATGTTCAGAATACATTTGAGTCCTATGGTACATAACATTGGAAGTTGCACGTTCAGATAACACAAAACTTCTGTCATGTTTGTTGCAGCGCATTGTGCAGACCGTTATATTGATTTTTTAAAATCGTTGTTTTTAACAAATCTCCAGCTTGGCAATTTTCTGCAACATGTAATGAGTATCTATAGTGTAGATACAGGAGATAGAGATACACAGAGAGAAGAAAGCACATTACATGTCGGGGAGTATGTGGAGGATGGAAATGTAAGCGTTGCCGAATTGAAGAGGAAAAACTGATCTGTGTTTGTGATTCAAACTATTCTATTTTTCCCCAAAAAGAAGTACCAAATTAAAAAAAATCAGAATAGTTTGGAAATCATGAACATTAACATTATGAATACTTGATTATACAAAAATCAGTTATTTATATTCTACGAACAAATACAATTATCTTTACCTTTAAAGAAACTGATGAGATAATACCATGGATATCAAGTGATGATGATGATGATGATATTTCAAAAGACTCAGAGCAAGATGTAAAGATAACCATGTACAAAACAGAAATAGAAAATAATGCATACATGTATTGTGTATATGTTGAATAAGATATTTTGTTCATAAACTGCTGTAATCATATAACGATCTCATACAATATCTACATTAACATTACGCTTATACAAGTAGTAAAGGACTTTCGACAATGGTAAAACGTAAAGAGAAGGCTGATTTTGGGAAGAGGTGAAAATAATTTGTGAGCGTTATTGTATTATGCCAGTGTGGAAGAACATGAGATAGAAAATGTTCACTGAAAAGCATGGCTCTTCAAATGCCTTAAATTATAAATATTTCTTGCAAAATCATAAATATCGGGACGGATTTTTATGCCACATGTTCGTGTCGTCCCATGTACATATTTCTGTGTATAGTGCTTGTAACTTTACCAAGACTGGGCCAAATTTCTTATCATTTTGATGATTCCAGTACCTTGCAGTATACACCAATACATAATAATGCTAGATGATCAACCCTTTCTGATCGATTCCACAACGTTTCTTTCACAATGCAATAGCACGACCAGAACTCAACTCTATATCTTTAAAATACAAATGCTGTATTCATTCCGAATGTAAAAAATACAATTATGATACTGTTCCATTGCTCTAACGAGCATGCCCTTGTAAATGCTATTGGGGTTAACAGTACGAGTGGTTAGGACACGAGAGTACATTGTGTTAAATAATCAAATCAGTATCATAAATCAATTGATTCAAGGTTTTCCAACATTGATATTGATCAACCTTTTAAATCTGAGCTTACATTTGGCTGTAGCACTCGTTAAATGTATGCTTTAAAGTGACTCGGAAACATTGTTAAAAGTCGATGAAAAAACTGCCTAATTTTTGTATGAAATGTTACTTATTACATTCCTTCTACTGTACTAACCCTCTTACATGCTAAAATCCTGAGAAAAAAAATCTCAAACCACAAAGATGTGTATGGTTTCTTTGAAGGCGTCACTGTGCAACACCTTCTAACAGTAAAATCTCCCAACCATTTTTGAATTTTCTCAACCGTTTTTCCATGAAAATAAGACATGAGACAGGCTTTAAAAAATCTGTCAACATTTAAATGTCTGGCATGGTATAAAGAGCCAATTCATTGCTTCGTTACGATTTACATTCACCTAAAATGTAGTTGGGAGAATTAAGGAATCGGTTAGATCAGTTTTTCCCCAATTTGTATCATTAATTATGGGTTGTTTTTACTCGAACGTTCAGATTATCTTTAACTGTACATCTAGCATTGAAGTTACTACCTTAGAACCATTTGCTCGAATATTAACATTGTTACAAAGTCCCTTTAATGCTTTCTCTTTCTTTTGACATATTTTCAAGACCTATTAATTCCTGAATTACTCGGCATGATGAGCAATGAGAATGATTATGAATGATTAATGTTGAACGAAAATGAAATCATCTTGTATATCTTGGACTGAGTGAAGTACAACTAGAAATGTATTTCTTTTAACAAAACATTAACTTACTAGTCCTATGCAGACCTTTTGTAGAGATTGGTATATTAATACGGTAATTTATCAAATATCTTGTTTAAAATACGTTCGTACATGTTTGAATTATCATTCTCTCTGGAGTGTTTTGAAATATCATTATTTCATTACGACTTGAAATCCATGGTTTAACTTATCATCCTCCCCAAAGGATTATCATTTGTTTGTAGAATATAAATGACTATAGTTTGATATAATATTCATAGTGTATTGCATTCGATATCAGGCGTAAATTGGTTAAGGTCTCTGGATGAAGGTGTAGATTGATTTCGCAGGGAAGGTCCATGCGAATTGGAAAGTGATACAACGACTTTCCGTACACAAATAACCATGAGAGGGTCTAAGACAAAAATCAAAACAAAAATCAATCATTTAATTTCTTGCTGTCATATTTCAAGACCCAAATCTTATTTTCCGGTAATTATAAGTCTTGATGGAGTCCTGGGTGGAGTGAACTATGGATTTATAATTTACCATTGTTTGTTAACAATTGCATAATTAATCACTTCACAGGTTGAGTGCGGATGATCACGGCCTGTGATTGGTCGATTGACTGCTTTACATCTCGCTCAAGGTGTCTTCGTGGACTGACTACGAGGAGACTGACAGAGGGTCGGAGGAGATAGAGGTAGTAAATCCAGCCGACTCTGCCCGACCAGGAAGCCCATAAAATCCGGTCTAACGAGCCCACAAATCAATCGCTTAAATGAGCTCAATGTTTTTGAACTCACTATTCACCAAATACCAACCGGGTGAAGCGTGGTTTCCTAGTGGCTTCGATCCCGCGGCGAGCGTTGCCAGCAGAAACTGTAAGACGGGACCCGGAGACCCCGCCGTGGCGGCGGGTGCCTCCTCCGTGGGGTGGAGAGGGATGCACGCGGGTACCGCGGCTGGACATTACCCCTCTTTTGATTTCACGAACTCCAATTACTACACCTCTGTCGCCAACACCCCCTTCAGCACATCATATGGGTACCAGGCTTGCGGTTTTGCCTCCACTTGCCCGCAGGTCCAAGTCCAGGGTGGGGGCTACACGGACCAGTATACCACCTACCCGCATCATAATGGGTACACCACGCCCAATGTTGCGGCTTACCCTACAACATGGAGTCCCTCCCAAAAAGACACTGGGTTTGTGAGTCCGGTGAGCGGGGCCTTTATCGGGCCTGGGCCGGACATCGCCCTACAGAGCCATCACGAAGGAAAGGTTCTCGACGGCCATCTCGATTCCAAAGGCGATGATGGGGATAGTGAACCGGTCTATAAAGGTCCCGTCTACAACTGGATGAAAATACCAGGTGAGCCAAAGAAGAAAAATAATGATTTGATATTATTTCCATAGTAGGCCCTAATTCGAATATTTTTTTCGTCTGGCTAATTCAATTTCTGAGAAAATTATCGCTATTAACTTACATCAAAATGACAGTATAGTTGGGTAACATACGCGTCAATGTTCTCTACAAATACTAGTTCATTTCAAATTTATGCTTTGCTTAAAAGTATATGAATGGCAATAGAAAAAGACATTGTTTACATTCAGTTATATATACTGTCATAAAGAAGTAACATCGAGTGTATGGTCTTCCTAAACCAGACATCACCTATTCAACTTAATATTTAAAAGAAATCGTTAGATATTAACTAAATCGATTCACTTTATCTTCTTTGAATTGAATAAGTGTCATTACCAGCAAGCTAAGTATATGTGAAGTGATATGATACTTGAGAAGATATAATCATGATAATGTGCATGCAAATGCAATACATGTAGCTATTTTTATTTTCATCACAATTCTCACCACTCGTTTTATCATCATCGTCGTCGTCATCATCATCATCATTATCGTCATCATCATCATCATCATCATCATCATCGTCGTCTTCATTATTATCAACGGTCCCCCTACAAGATGCATGACACTTTGTGTAAGGGAAGCCGCATATGATTTCAAAATGACATACATATTTGCGGTTGACAGAAAAAGCAAGTAAATACAAATCACCAACCAGTCATTAGGCGCGCTATAGCCATCATAACGAAGTTCCTATCATTTTTTTTTTAAATTTGCATGTTTTATTCAATCAAAACTAATATCAAAATATTTACACGTCAAAGTTCCTATCATATCTTGATAATTATTTAGTTATGTACAATGACTCCGCTTCTAAGCTATATATTCAAATTGGAAAACCAATTGTCAAACCATTGTCCAACTATTCCTAACTTTGTCTAGAAAAGTATTAACTGTCATCGTTCTCGAGAAGAAGAAAAAAAAAATCATCATCATCAACCGTCACTTAATGCATGTGTATAACATCTGCCACTGTGATCATGGTGATATTACTTAACACGTAATTATGTTTAAAATTTTGATAGGGCTACGTGATACATGGAACGGAAACCTCTATAATCAATTGTAACCATGGTAACGTTTCATGATAAAAGATCAATGGAGAAATAAATTTACATGTCACGTTATTATCATTGTCATCAGAAATGATATATCGGTCCAAATATTATACAGCGCAACATAGGCTTGTTTCTACGGGGAGAGAAGTGAATAAAATAAAGATGATAATTGATAAATGGTGTACTCTCTATATCCTACCGACGTGATGGCGGTCGGAAGTGTATGTTAAACATTTGCTCATCAATAATGTATTTATATCCTGGTAAAATAATAATGTGTCGCCTCTGCACCAAAGATTCATAGACTGCTCACTAGTAATGGATAAAGTAGTGTATCACCAAGAGTACAAGTACAGCACGTGTAAATGTGGGGCATTACAGAGGTAACATAGGATAGGTAACAGATGGTTTGCATAGTAGGCAGGGTAAGGGTAGTGAGTTAAGGAAGTAGCAGAGACAGCCGTTTAGGAGGTTCGGTGTAAAAAAAAAATGTCAGAGGTAAAAAAAATGTAGGAGGTAGAATGTCAGAGGTAAAATGTCAGAGGTAAAAATTGTCGAGAGGTAGAATGCCAGAGGTAAAAATGTCAGAGGTAAACAAATGTTAGAGGTAAAAAATGTCAGAGGCAAAAATGTCAGGGGTAAAAAGTTAGAGGTCCCTTTTCTTACGTCTGACATTTTTGTAACCTGGCATCGCTTAGGAATAGTAGCAGTATCAGTCAGTAGTAGTAGTAGTAGTATGAGAAGAAGTAGTAGTAGCAGCAGGAGTACTGTTAGCCACAATCACAGTAGTAATGGTAGTAGCAGTAGTAGTAGTAGAGTAGTAGCCTAGTAGTAGCATAAGAAGTAGTAGTACCAGTAGCAGCAGCAGTAGCAGTAAAATTAGCAGTAGTAACAGTAATATTATTTTTACATGTTTTATAATTAAAAGATCTCTCAAACATTTTGTTCTGGATAATGTATACAGGTACGAAACTGAGTGTGGGCGTTGTTATTAATCAGTATCTCCGGCGGGCTATTAAGCAAATCTCCTGTTCAAACTAAATAATGCAACACTTGGTACGAAAAGAACAAAAATTACCAACACTAGACGTCTTACTTAACCATCTTCAGGTTATGTCAACCTAAGTGGGAAATATTTGTTTCACACATTTTTCTCAACGTGTTATTGCTGGGCACAGCAACAAAAAACCCTGCTATTTACTGAGCTTTCCTCGAAATGGAGTTGTTTTCTAACGTATGATTTCGAAAGAATGATATGAATGCAGGCTTTCTTCCCAAAGTTGGGCCTTTAACCAAAAACTAAGTTCAAAAGATCGGATTTCAAACATCTGGTGTAACAACGCCATGTAGGTTAAATCAGAACAGTTATTATACCCTTCATGGTATCATACCTCCTCATCTGATTATTTTACAACAAACAGCTGCTTGCAATAAATATTGTAGGAAAAGTATCAGCTGTGCCTGGTTTATGCAAAAAGATGGGGGAAATCAAAGTAAAGGTGCAACGATCACCATGATATAATAATAATAATAAATTACATTTATATAGCGCTTAATACAAAGTATCATAAGGAGAGAAGGAAAATATTACAAAGTCCTACAAAAGCAAATATTCTTTTTGCATTATATGATATCACTGGATATGATGTTTTTTCCGTGTTCTTTGTTGCAGCTGCAAATTTGCTTGCAAATTCTTGACTTTGAAGCATGGTGGTTATTTTCAGTAGCCGATATTCAAGTTTTTTTTCGCCTCCTCATTTAATGCACAATGCATGTTTGCTATATTACTGACATTTTGCATATTGAATGTTTCCCTTTTTCATTTGTTGTTTAGATTATCAAAGAAAGAAAAAACAATTTAAAATAGTCGTTTACTCCATGGTGAAGCATAAATTAATGGGGCATGGTGTTGCAATGCGCTCGTCGGACATAATTATTATGAATGGGAAGTGGTTAGCCAGTTTCTATTTAATATCACTTCATTTTATTAAGTCATTTTGTAAATATCATAGGCACTTCAAACATCCTGGAAAATTGATGTTGTTACTGAAAATGTTCTTTACTACCTTTAAAGTATTTAGTTACATTTTGATTAGCATTCTGATTCACCCACGCGTTGTCGGTGGTATTGGTAACCAAATCTCTAATTGAATTTTGATCCAATCTGACTCGAACCCTACTAAAGCGGTTCGTTACGTAACAACCAAGCCTGGATATCAATTTTTTAATTAATTCAAATTAATGATAATATGATGAGAGGTTAGAGATAAAGTTGAGTTATGCTAAAACATTGAGAGAAACTTTCTTGTAAGCATTTGGTTAATGTCCTGTGTTTTACATACAATTTAATTTATATTTTATACTGTGACGTTTGCAATATTCAAAAAGATAAGACATTGAATCAACCTTGCTGAAATACGTGTTCACTACACGCAGAAATTATAAGCGGGACTGCGCTAATGTGTGAAATAAGATTTGGTCCAAACTTTTCAGCTTTATATCATCATACAATTTTGAATGTGAGGGCGTTTGAACATGATGATAAACACCCCTTTTCAGAGGACAGTTCTTGTTGATATATTCTTCCGAAGTTATATTAAAAAACAAAGTAGAAGGCTCACAAATTATCTTTAATCTTCATGAGAACACGATTTTCTCTTTAATACGACTCTACACTAGCCGCGTTGGTTACCCTTGGATGGGCTGGGCATGGACAATCGTCCTTAGCGGTAAGCTCATTCGACCGGTGTATCTTTCGGTCCCCTGGGAGTTGTCCGGTGTGTAAGGGACGCCGCAGATGATTCCAAAATGTGCGATCAATGGTCGAGGAAACGGGGTGTAATGATAAGTATTACGTGCAGCATAGCACCCAGGATGGTAATATGATGTTATGATATCATGCGAGCAATTATTAAAGGGAAACAGTTTATATTTTGTTAAGGCAATGAGGAGAACATTAAGTTCGGAACTTACAAAGAGAGACGGAGCAAACAGAAGGCAGGAGCTGAGACGAATAGATGGGTAAGGGTTATACAACAGATGATGAGTGATAGGCGGGAGAGGGGGCGGATAGACAAATAGATTGGTAGATGGGGGACGGAGATAGAAAAAAACAGAGTCAGGAAAGACAAAGAAGGATGTAAAATATAACGAACATAACGGGATCGGACGATGTTTCTTTGAATTCCAAGTAGGCATCTTACTTTGCAACTTCAGTCGAGCAAAACAAAAATATCTTCCATATGACAATCATCGAACGGGGGTATTCCTAACGCGAGGGCAATTATTAATCCGACTAACTTTGCGCGAGTTTTTATGCCCATCTTTAATTATTAGGTTTTGCTCCATCACGATTATCTCTTACTACAAACTTAACCAACAACAAAATCCAGGTTTGACCTTTTGCCCCATCATAATTATATCAACATGTATTTATCCTCATCTTAAGCACATATTTTTAATCCTGTTTAAGGCCGAAAATTGATTCGTCGTTTCTTGTCCCCCATCCATTTTCTTTATTAAGTGTTTGTTTGTATATTTGTTTCCTAATACATGAAAAGATGAGGTGAAATCCACTGTAGATGACGTGCAAGTCCCAAAAAATATCTACTTTAAATTAGCGTCAGCAGCGCAGCGCATGGATAAAATAAGAGTTATTACTACTATGATAGAGAGAAGACAAATTATATCAAATTTCCTAGTCCATGTTTGTGTGTCTGAAAATTTAAAATAATTATCAAACATTTTTAGAACCATTCTAACTTTCTAAAACCATGACGAGATATTTTTAATCATTTTTATTTGGCCTCTATCTCTACTTTCACATGTTGCAAAGGGAGTCACACACAGGTGTCCTCTTTATACTACATTACTCATTGACAACATATT